TTCATCCTTGGCAGAGGCGATGTTAAAGAGTGAAGCACAAACGCCGTATCCACTGACATTTGGAACTGAGGGTGTATACATGAGCTTAATGTAAACCCCGTGCGATTCTTGCACTTATTTGTTGAGTTTTCGCCAACTCCCGTGATTTCAGCAGAAACAGGGAATCGCTTCAGTCCAAGGGCTTGGACGACATTTTCCGTAACAAGAGTTCCCTCGGAGCCGTGATCAATTAAAGCGCGTACTATCATAGACTGACCAGTGATGTTGTTGTGTAGTCGAACCAGTGTCGTCGCTAGAATCACTGTGGGTGACTTATACGAGGCCATTGCACTCACGAGCTGAGTTGTGTTGGCATGAATTGAGCTTGCCGATGAGGATGAATCCCTCGTTGACTGATGCTGTAGAACATTAGATTTAGCGTTATTAGGCTGACTAGGAAAATGTAAAAGAGTGTGGTGCCGTTGACCACACTGAGAACAATTCTTTGTACTACTGCACTGAGACCAATTATGGTAAGGGCTTAAACAATTCAGACAAACCTTGGTGTTTTCCGCTATCAGTTTTCGAGCAAAACAATCTTTTGACAAGAACTCTGGACAACGCCTTAAAATGTGGTTGCCACTACAATGAGTGCAACGCATTGCGGAATTGGTACCGCTCGTGGTATGGTAGCTGCCGCGTTTATGTATGTTATTGTTGTTAGAGTTGTTCGGAAGCTTGTATGACGGTTTATGCGATGCATTTTGGACCGATGTTGGTTTTGGTGATGGGTTCCCTTTGCGACTTTCTATCATTTCGATGCTGACAAGGCGATTGTTTAGAAAATTTTCGAACATCGAAAAGGTTGGAATTTCTCCTGAGCTGCCCAGGTGATGCTCCCAGGCTTGGAGAGTAGTTGATGGGAGTTTCATCGCGAGATGATGCACTATCCAATGGTCACAAGTTGAGATTGCGATTTTGAGACGCTTGAATTCGTTTATACACACATTGGTGACGTTGAGTAGGTGCTTGAATTCCGTTGAACAGTCCTTGACGATGACAGGCAAGTCGTATAGGGCATTCATATGGTGCATGAATAACAACCTTGGGTTATTGTACCTCCTAACGATAAGATTCCAGGCCACTGCATAGTTTGCTTCCGTCAAATCCATTTGCTGGACATCCTGATCGCAATCACCTGGCAAAGCTTGCTTAAGAAAATGGAATTTTTTGAATGCTAGAAAGTGCCGTATTCTCGTTTATAAGCTGTGAAAATACATCAAAAAATGCTGGCCAATCTGTATGTTTGCTAGAAAAAGTGGGAACCGGTAACTTAGGGAGCTGAACTGCGGACACTGCTGTAGAAACCACCGTAGAATTATGACTCGGAGCTCCACCTGTTGTATCAGTATTTGTTGTTGTCAGCAGGGCATCGTAGGCATCCAAAATAGCACAAAAAACCGTGGTATAACTTTGCTCAAACTTATCTTCAATTGCATTTTTAAAATACGCATGCGTACGCGGACATTTGGAAATAACAATCAATTGGTGATTTTTATTAAATTGTCTAGAAAGTTCTTCTAATTTATCGCGACGGAGTTGAAAATAAGCTTTGGTTTTTCGAGCTGCACTATCTTTTTAAAGTTCGTATGCAGCTGTGTTAATCGTGTAAGAATATCAAATTGAAGAGCACTGAGATCTTCATAACCCGCTCTCTCCAATGAGACTTCTAGTTCACTTTCGTTTTTCTCCATTTGGCTCAAAAATAATTGCACTCAATCTATGACCAACATACAAGCATGCAAATAACAAAACACTCACCCTTTCTGTGCAAGAACACCTTGTGTTTCGCAGTCGTTAGCGTTTAACGTTTGTTGTTGTTGTCGTCCGCCAGGCAGAGTAGAGCGACAAAGGCGAACGCAAGGCGGTGATTTGCTTATCACTGCAGCTGCGCTTCCAGCGGTCCAGCGAAGTGACGTGGGCGTATGTGGTCGTTGCACTCGGCCGATCATCCAACGAGGCAAATGTTGATAGAGAGACGCCGATATATAGCGAATCACTGCCGCTGCGCTTCTAGCGGTCCAGCGACGAAAGCACAAAGTATAGAAAGAGACGCCGGTAACTTAAGAACGGCGTATATGTACCAATTAGGTTTGGTATTTGGCTGACTCTTTTTGGGTGCGTGCTGGCACTGAACTTTTAGAATTTTATGAACACACAAAGAACCACTTTTGCCAATTTATGGGCAGATAACTGTTGAAAATTAATTTCAAATGTAATCACGAAGTTATGATCAAATGGTTCCCCTCATGGGCCACCAAAAATGTTGTGACAAATGCTAAGTTGTCAATGCTGAGCGTCTACCGCTCTGGAGACTTTCATTTGACAAGAGAAAAAATAGGTACAACCGAAGTAACTTCAAGATTAAGTTTATTTAACAAATTTCACTAGATATCAAACAACTAATTTAAATACGAAGGTTAAGTTATATTAAAATTTTAGGTTCTTCAAGGTATAAAAATCAAAGACACAGGCCGACCAGCACCGAACACCGCTTGCCAAAGAGTGGTTTGTCGGATTTTGGTATTCGTCTTTTGTGCTGCTGGGACGTCTCGAGAGCGTAGAAAACTGCATTAAGCACACTCTTTGTCTCCTACGAAATACTCTTAATAGATGCTCGAACAGATGTATTGTTTTAAAAAATCAGGTTAACCTAAGGGTTAACGTATTGAAACAAGTGCAATTTTTTATTATTGCGCAGGTCAGTAATCAAAAGAAGCAAAAGATAAGAAAGATGTAGGTAGGTAAATGCAGATCACACGCTTATAATCAAAGCATACGATAAGCATGTAGGTATGTATGTTCCATGATAGGCAAAAAGAGAAGTAGAAAGAAACATGTGCGAAAACTTACAATTGTTCTCCACCGTTGAAAGGCCTCCAGCGAGGGTTGATTGTATTGTTTGTGTATATTTTTGAGTGATATTGTTAGTAGGAAAGTTGGAAAGTTATGTTTATGGTTTGATCTGTTGGGATGTTAATTATTTTTATTGATTCTTTGGTTTAATTGCCTATTGTACGAAAGGTTTACTGATTTTCATGGGATATTTTTTTTCCAGTTTTTATAGGTACACGGAAAATATCTTTTAAATTGGTTTTGCAAATTGATTATTGGTATGCAAACAATTCAAAATAAACAGATGGCCCTGTACCTACTGATCGGGTCTTTTATGATAATGCGTTTGGATATATGCGTTTGTTTGTTTTTATTGATTACTCCATTTTCTCCTCTACTTCATCCTACAACTGAATTCAGCCAATTTTATTCCGTACATGAGTCGAAAAATCAATATAATGGTGTGTTGCTCACACAAACATGGATAATATGGATATCACCAATAGCCGAGTTGGACCATGTACCATGTGCTCACTATCTCGGGGCTATATTGGTGAGGGTGATATCTGTGAATATGAAAAAAATGTTGAGAAAATCTCTATCAAGATTTTCGGCAACTAGTTTTCACCTACCTCGGGTGCCTCCTGCACCAAACCAGGGGTTTCTAAAATCTGCTCTTGACGTGGATGTCTTTAGCTTTGTCCACTGGACAATTAGGACACGTGGACACGTGGGTGACGATGGGGAAAATTCAATTCTTGCAATACTCGTGGTGTCAGCAATAGCAATCAAAAGAGATCGAGAATGCAGTGGATCGAGCTTATATAGCCAAAATTGGTAGCATCGAGAGAGAGAGAGCTTTCTATGCTTTCGAGCTGTATTTCTTTCTCAGAACGAAAGAACGAATAATTCCAAGGTACCAAAGCCTCTTTTATCGCATACGACAATTTTTACGCCAGAGCTGCGATAAAAGTACCTTGACCTCTCATGCGATTTAAAATTGTGCTTTCAAGGCGCCCATTACACCACCCGAGAATCTGCAACTCTTAGGCAGAAGATTTGAGAGAATTATTGGCGTATATCTTTCGCGTGGAAAGTTCCAATTTCTTTGCCTGTCAAATCCTCTAGCAAATAGAAACAATTTCCAAGTTTTCTCTTTACACAACATTTTAAGAATTGAGGAGCAAGTTTAGCATTGTAGTTTTGAGAAACTTGCTAAGTGAAAAATTTCGACGGAAGACCTCTTGACCTTTTTTGTATGATACTGGTTTTGAACGCAAGTTGTACTGTTTGTGATTTGATTCGTATACGAATATTGTTTTGAATGTCTTTCCGCAACAAGGCTAAATTATCTGTGCGGTCTAACGACATCCTAGACTCTTGAAGCAAGATTAATTTTCTCAAAAGTTTATAATCGGATCCTTGAGTTATCATATCCAATCCAAAAAGAACTTTGTATGGGGAACATCCCAAAGACTGATGCAATAAAGAGCGCAAAGAACATGAGATACTGGTCAAATGACCACTCCTTTTGATCATCTTCTATATACGCTCTAACAGCGGCAAGCAAAGAACGATTGACTCGCTCAGCTGCGTTACTTTGCAGGGAGTATAGGTCGGTATCAACATTTGTGTTGAGTTAGCGAGCTTTTTCACTAACTATTTTTTGGCAAGATAACACAAGATTTATTTTAGTTTTATAAAGTGTATTTAATTAGCTCCAACGGAAAATATAACAAGTTTGGTTTCAATTATTTCACTTATGTTTATTAAGTACAAGAGTTTATTTAGCGGCACAAGGGCGGCGACAAAATAATACGAAAGAATGCGCAGACAAACCCGAATTGGTTTGAGCGTTAAATGCAACGATTTAGCAACGATCTTGATAACGACGCCAACTATTAACGACTGTTAGCTAACAACGACTGATGATGACTATTTTTGGCAATGCCGATGCAATGCAGCTGCATGAGCTTAACGAAGAAGTGCGAGATGATAAATGATAAGCGAAGAATAAGCGATGGTTAAGAGAATTGCCTCGCAGGGCAAGCGAATTTAAGAGAGTTTGCCTCGCATGGCAGTTTACAATAGTTTTTAGTTATGATGTTAGGAAAACAAAAGCGATGTTATTTAAGTTGTTTGGGCTGGACCAAGCATTCTCCCCCCGTTGGAAGGCCAGGGCTTTCAACATCATCCTTCGTAGGCAAAAGGCACAGTTTGGCGACAGCTCTCTTGGTTATTCCTGTTGCGGTCTTCAGGACAGCGACTCGACAGATTTCATCCTTCCCCTTTATCAGCTCTAGCACACGAGCTAATGGCCATTTGAATGGTGGTAGATTTTCATCCTTGACGAGGACGACATCGTTGACTTGCAGACTGGGTTGAGGAGAACGCCACTTGGATCTCTGCTGAAAGATCGTCAGGTATTCTTCACGCCAGCGTTTCCAAAAAGTTTCCTGCAAATAAGAAATTTTCTGCCAACGATCAAGTCGGTTGACATTCAGGTTAGAGAGATCTGGTTCGCAGAAGCTGGTAGCAGGACCGCCAGTTAGAAAATGTGCTGGAGTCAGGACATCAAGGTCTGCTGGATCCTCTGATAGGGGTAGCAGCGGTCTAGAGTTGATGATAGCCGAGATCATGCAAATGATGGTGCGCAACTCATCAAATCCAAGTGTGGATTGCGAAATAGTGCGATAAAGATGATGCTTGGCTGTCTTAACTGAGGCCTCCCAAAGCCCTCCAAAGTGAGGCGATCTGGGTGGAATGAATTTCCATTCGATGGAGTCTGCTAGACAGAAGCTCTCGATTGCCTTCAAATGGTCCTCAGCTAGGAATAAGCGACGAAGTTCGGCAAGCTCATTCTTGGCTCCAGTAAAGTTGGTTGCATTATCAGACCAAATGCATTTGGGACGACCTCTTGTTGCAATAAAGCGTCTGAGGGCTGCCAAGAATGTTGGTGTGGATAAATCAGCCACTAGTTCCATGTGAACTGCTTTGGTTGCAAAGCATATAAAAATGCATATGTAGCACTTCAGCGGCTGGCGCTTGCGTCCCTCAGGCTTATACATGAATGGGCCGCAGTAGTCCACTCCAGTGACAGTGAAGGCCTTGCAAGAGTCCACGCGATCCTTTGGCAGGTCTGCCATAACATGCTGAAGTGTACGTGGCCGAGCACGACAACAGCGAATGCACTTGGTGACCACAGCAGAGACTGTTCTTCTCCCCCGATGGGCCAATAGTGGAGTCTGATTCTGGCCAGCAGTGTACGAGGTCCTGCGTGAAGGCTTTCTTCGTGGAAGTGCTTGATGATAGCCGAAGATATTGGGTGTTTCCTGGGCAGGATCATTGGATGTCGAGAGTCAAAGGGCAGACTTGAGTTCGACAATCTACCTCCGGCTCGTAGAAGACCAAAATCATCAACAAATGGAGACAGCGATGACAGGCAGTTCGATGGCTTCAGGACATGGTTGGCCTGAATTGCTTTTAAGTCAGCCCACATGGTAGCTCGCTGCACCGCTCGAACTAGAAGGCGTGTACCATTCTGTAAATCTGAAACAGTCAGAGTGGGTGATCTAAGTCGAAACAAGAATTTGTATATGTATGCGAAAATTCGCTGCATGGCAGGAAATGAATTTTCAAACTTGCACGTAGATGTCAGATCAATCGGTGACGTCAAAACCAAACACGTTGCCTTGCGCAGCTCCAGTATGCACTGCTCTTGGGCAGGGGATGGCGGCCAGCTGGATCGCGGTAGCAGCAAGAACGAAGGTCCATGAAACCAGAGATCGGATGCGTTCAATTCCATGGGCAAGGCTCCTCTGGATAAGATATCAGCAGGATTTAGTGTAGTAGGTATGTGAAGCCATTCCATTCCGGCAGACAGTCTCTGAATGGATGCTACTCTGTTAGCAACGAAAGTTGTGAAACGGGATGACTTACTATTTAGCCAAGCTAGGACTACGGTTGAATCGCACCAGCAGAAGTATGGACCTGAAAATATATCCATTTTTTGAAGCTCGCTTAGAAGAGTGGCCAGCAGAAGCGCTCCGCATAGTTCAAGCTTCGGAATCGACAGAGTCTTTAAAGGCGCTACTCGAGACTTGGCGCACAATAGTTGAGCATTCGATTTGTCAGCAGATCTGGATACGATATATACACATGCTCCATAGGCAGACATGCTAGCATCGCAAAACCCGTGAATCTCGATTGATCCCTTTGGTAGTAATGCAAATCTGGGAAATGTCGTCCTTTCTACGCTGCGAAACTGAAGGCATATACTGGACCAGGTTGAGCTTAAAGATTCCGGCAAGCTTTCATCCCAGTGTAGCTTCTCCTTCCAGAGCTCCTGTAGGAAGATTTTGGCTTTGGTTATGACCGGGCTTATGAGCCCAAGCGGGTCATAGAATCGGGATATTGTCGAAAGCACAGAACGTTTGTTTGGCTTGGTTGTGGACTGCGTAGGCAAATACGAGAAAAGAAGGACATCTGATGCAGGATCCCAAGCCAATCCGAGAGTTTTGGTTATGTCGCTTCCATCGTGAAACTTCAGGAATGATTCTTTCTCCTCTTCTGGAACATTTTCGAGAACGACTGGTATATTGGAGCACCACTTCCGAAGCATGAAGTGGCCTTTCGATAGCAAATCCTTTGTTTGGTGAAGAATATCCTCGACTTCTTCAATGGAACTGCCTCCGGTGATCAAGTCATCCACATAAAAATCACGTCTGACGATTTGAGATCCTACAGGATATGTCGACTGCTCATCCATGGCCAACTGATGCATCGCTCGAACAGATAGGAAGGCGGCGGGTTTGGTACCGTATGTTACGGTATCCAACTTGTAGATGCTGATGTCATCCTGATCAGAACCGCGCCAGATAATGCATTGCAAATAGCTGTCTGACTTGGCTATTCGAACACAGCGATACATCTTCCCAATATCTCCAGTGAGAGCCACTGCAAAGGTACGAAAACGGATAAGAATATTGAAGAGCTTAGCCTGTATGGTAGGTCCTGCCATCAACGTGTCATTCAACGAAATTCCAGATGATGAAGCTGCTGATCCATCATATACGACACGCAGTTTGGTGGTCGTGCTATCCTCTTTAAATACGCAATGATGCGGGAGGAAGAATCTGCAGTGCATTCTATCCTCTGGAGGTACAAGCGACATATGGTTGAGTTCCAGATACTCCTTTATGAAGTTAGAGTATTGTTCCTTGACATCAGGACGGCGTTCCAATTTTCGCTCCAAGTTGAGGAAACGGCGAAATGCTTGTTGGTATGACTCTCCAAGTCCATCGATTTTTCCAGTTTTCGGTAGCTGCACTTCGTATTCACCAGTGGGTAGTCGAAAGAAGGTGTTTTGGAAATGCTCCTCGCATTCCGTTTCTTCTCTGGTGAATTTCGAGCTTTCCAAAGGACAGGATTCTAATTCCCAAAATCGCTGCAGAAGATCATCAATCCGATCTTTAGGCTCTGGCGTTTTATCTGAAATAGATTGAGAGGCAACGAGAGTGTGGCAAGTTTGTGCCGTGCCACCAGAGACAACCCATCCAAGTCGAGTTTTCTGCAGAGTGGGAAGATGGGGGCCAAGCTTGATTTGTCCGATACATAACAAATCATAGAACAAACTTGCTCCTATGAGAAGGTCAATCCTCTTCGATTTGTTGAATTCCGGGTCAGCCAACGGTAGATTTGACGGGATATTCCATGGTGATGAGTCGAAATTGAAGTCAGGCTGGTCGTTGACAATTGAGGATGCAACCACGGCTTCAATACTTGCAGAGTAATTGGTAGAGTTGGATGATAAACTCAGCTGGACAGCATATCCTGTAGTTCTGAAGCTAGAATCTCCAAGACCAGATACAGCTGCAGCAGATTTAATCCTTTTGAGTTGAAGAAGGTGTACGAATCTAGATGTTACAATGTGAACTTGCGAGCCTGAATCTAGAATGGCACGACAAGGTATTAGACTACCAGCTCTGTTTTTAATAAAAACATTAGCAGTTGCCAAGAGCACAAAGTTGCAAACCTGAGGTCCTTCGAAAGAGGAAGAAGCTGAGTCAGAGGGCAGCGTGCAAGCGAGTGAGTACTGATTTGAAGAACCTTGAGCCATGTTGACTGGGGCCAGCGCAGGCTGAGCTGGCGGTGGCATTGCAGATGACGTTGGAAATGGTGCGTCTCCCAAATGAAGCAATGTGTGATGCTTGGATCCACATTTCTTGCAGCCGCTAGAATTGCACGAGCGCAATTGTTGCCCGTCTTTAAGGCAATTTATGCACAGGGACATCTTCTTCACTTCCTTCAGCCTTAGTGCTGGGGAAAGATTACCAAATCTCGTGCACGTATATATGGAGTGACCGCTATCGCTGCAGAATCGGCATCGTGATGGACTGGCAGCTAGTAGAGCCTTGCTAGAACGATTTGTTCTTCCAGATGAGTGGCTGGATGAATGGGTAGCCATGGCAAGCTCCACATTCTCTAGAGTCTGGCAACGTCTTTCCAGGAACTTCGAAAACTCCTCCCACGATGGTATTTTGTCAACAGAGCACGACTCCTCCCACTTGGCTTGGGTAGGTGGATCCAACTTTTGCACCAAGGCTTGAACAATGAAGCAATTTGCGATTTGCTGTTGATCGCCCAATGCCTGCAGAGCCCGCATGTGACTGATAAGCCTATCAGAAAGTTCCCTTAACTTGCCAACTGACCCAGCTTCGATCGTCTTTAGGCCAAAGATTTGTGCAACATGTGCATGAAAAACAATGCGTTTATTATTAAATCTGTTATTTAATACATCAAGAGCGATACGGTAGTTGCTGTCAGAGATTTCCAGTGATTTTATGGTGTCGAGGGCCGCATCCTTGAGGCAGGAGCGCAGGTGCTGCAGTTTTTCGATGTTCGAGAGTCCAGGATTCTTGTCGATGATCGTCGAAAACATGGCATGAAAATCGGCCCATTGAGTGTAGCCGCCACTAAATGTTGGGAGTTTAAGATCCGGCAATCGAGATTTTTGAGTTACGAAAATCGAGTGAGACGAAAATGGATCTTCCGCGCGAAATGTTGACGATAAAGGCACAGTCGAATTGCGTTTACGAATTTCTGCACGGATGCGAACCTTCAGGGTGGCTATAAGTTCTTCGAAATTATCTCGTAATTGGCTACAGATTTCATTATAGTCTTCCTTTTCTAACAAGGTTTTCTCGCACACTAAGATCATTGTCACACAAGCCTCTAAGCATTTCCACTGGTAATTGCTTATTTATTGTTTTGGCTCGTTGCCAAATTGATTCGGCTTTAAGCTTAAGAAAGGTAGCTTGAGTTTGTGGCGAAAGGGTTTTGTCTTCGACCGACATGTTTCACTTAAGGCAAGACACCCTGTATAGAACCAAACGAACGTAGCACAAAAGGAGAAAAGGAACACGCGATAATACCGCAAGCGCAAACGTCACACGGCCAACGACCTCCGAATTACACCGAATTACAAGTTGCAAGACTTGTATTAATTTATAATTAATTCACTTCGAATGTTTGTGATTATCTCGCCGGGGCCTCCAAAATGTTGAGTTAGCGAGCTTTTTCACTAACTATTTTTTGGCAAGATAACACAAGATTTATTTTAGTTTTATAAAGTGTATTTAATTAGCTCCAACGGAAATTATAACAAGTTTGGTTTCAATTATTTCACTTATGTTTATTAGGTACAAGAGTTTATTTAGCGGCACAAGGGCGGCGACAAAATAATACGAAAGAATGCGCAGACAAACCCGAATTGGTTTGAGCGTTAAATGCAACGATCTAGCAACGATCTGATAACGACGACAACTATTAACGACTGTTAGCTAACAACGACTGATGATGACTATTTTTGGCAATGCCAATGCAATGCAGCTGCATGAGCTTAACGAAGAAGTGCGAGATGATAAATGATAAGCGAAGAATAAGCGATGGTTAAGAGAATTGCCTCGCAGGGCAAGCGAATTTAAGAGAGTTTGCCTCGCATGGCAGTTTACAATAGTTTTTAGTTATGATGTTAGGAAAACAAAAGCGATGTTATTTAAGTTGTTTGGGCTGGACCAAACAATTTGAAACTCCAAGTTCAGTCAGAAAAGCATTAAAGTCATTGGATTTGAACTGTGTGCCATTATCACTGACTATGCTATGAAAAATTTGTGTCAACAAAAATTCTTGTATTTTGGCAGAAGTAAACTTTTTCAACGTGTGTAGCCAATGATATTTGCTAAAGTGGTCTAAAACAATTAGCGACCCAATATTGCCATTCTTGCTTGGGTATGGGCCAAGCAAATCGATATAGAGGCGTTAAAACGGTCTACAAGTCAGGGCTCTTACTTCGCATTGGAGGGCGAAGAATACAATTGGGAGCTTTTGTCTGCTTACACATATCACAATTTCTAACGTCATTTCGGACTTCAGTGGCTAAGCCTGGCCAATACAGATGACGACGAATCTTTTCCAAAGTCTTCTGCATGCCTCCATGTGCTGAAATCACACTGTCATGAGCTTGTTTAATGACATCAACTCTTAAACGTTCTGGAACCCAAAGTTTCCAAGACAACTTTTCCTGCTCAGCCTCACCTGACGCATGTTCAGTACGAAGATAAAGAAACTTATTTTCAGTCTTTACATCAGGGAAGCGACTAGCATTATGACTATAATGGTATTTTAACTTCACATAATCTAAGTCAAGAAATGCATCTGACTCAAGATCAATAACAGGAGCTACACTCAATTCACAAATTTCTGTATCATCATCCATAGGTATTCTTGATAGCGCGTCTGGAACAACGTTATCCTTTCCATTTCTGTGAGAAAATACAAATTTATACTGATGCAATCTAAAAATCCATCTGGCGAGTCTACCAGAAACATTCTGCTGGCGCATGAGCCAGAGCAAACTTGAGTGATCAGTCACTACTTCGAACTCTTGCAATTCTAAGTAACAACGAAACTTTTCAATGGCTAAAATCACTGCCAAACATTCACGTTGAGTAACTGAGTAATTTCGTTGAGATCGACTCGGTTTCTTTGACATAAATGCAATTGGGGTTTCGACATTACCTTCAGTCATTTGTATTAATACAGCACCTACTCCAAAATCCTTGGCCTTGGTATATGAGCAAAAATACCGTCGATGGTATTTATTATGGTAGCATAATTGAGTCGACGAGCGTCTAAACAAAAGCGAACTTTATTTGGTTTGACAACCAAACGCATCGGCGAGCTCCAAGGACTTGTTGAGGGCTCAATCACATCAAATTCTTGCATGCGATCAATTTCGGCATAAAGCAATTTCTCAGCAGCTGGGCTAACAGGATAAAATCGCTGTTTGACTGGCCTAGCCTCACCAACTTCAATATGATGTTGTATCAGACTAGTACGGCCAAAACCTTCTGCACAATTGGGAAAAAGCTGTTTTATAACTTCTAGCTGTTGTCGTTGTGACAGCGGTAAAGGGTATGAATTGGGAGCAAAAGGCTCTTCTACCTCTTCTAATATGCTAATCACATTTGGTGCGAGTGCAAAAACTCTCCAAAAATCTATTCCAAGTATTAATCTTTGCTTGATAGAGGTTCTTGTAAGTCAGGTTAACGTTAAACACACCTATGACGTCTTGCGAACTGCCATCAGCTGTTTGTAAGTGAGATTTGATGGGCTTAAATTCCGGAAAATCAGTAAAATCTAAAAGAACCTATGCAACTGATATTCGCGCCAGTGTGTAGTAAACCATTTTTCTCCCAATCCAAAAAAAAAGACTGAAACGTAGCTGCGAAAATCCGATGGCTTGCCAAAAATAGAAGAAACTACCAAATGACGGGTTTGTCGTAATTGTTTAAAGTATCTTCTAGTCCTTAAAGTACTATTTTTCGGAAGACGGAGCTCTTCATCTAAAATTCTTTCCCTTATCTCAACATAAGTCTTCAGCCTGTCTTCATAGGAAATATCTGAGGGGCTGGTATTCGCAGAAGTATTCTCAACTGGGTCTCGTGGTAAAATTTTCGAAACAGGTAGCTAAGGTTGAGAAATACAGATGTCTGAATTCCAAATTAGTTCTGATTTAGTTTCGGGACCAACCGGCTGTTGTTGGTTGCGCCCTTCTGGCGGTTTTCCGATGCTTTCCGCAAACAATGTTGACATTGGGGCTTGTATATATTTGGGGCTCCACATCCGTAGCAAAAAATACGTCGATCAGACAGACAATCTTCCCAGAAATGGCCAGAAACCTCACAATACCAACATTTGGTATTTGGACCTGCTTGTCGCAAAGCAGCGATCTCACTAACAGGGTCTATGTCTGTCTCGAACTCTAAATCTGAAGAAAGATCTTCCATGGCGTATACTTGTTTTTGAGAAGACATCTTTGGTTTCGCTGCTCCTTCTGAGACTGTTTTTAACTCCTGAATGAGATTCTCATTCATTTGCACGAGCCTACGCAAATGCCCAATTAAGTAAACCGACTCAAACATGCACGGGTAACATATTACTTTTTCAGGTTTTCTATCAACTCTTCTTCATTCATTTTTACTCCTAATCTATCCATCAACGAAGCTACTGCATCATAAAAAGTGGTAAAAGGCTCACCAACCTTTTGTTTGCGAGAACGGATTTGTTCCTTGCTCATAAATTCTGAGCGATAATCATTGAATTGTTGTCGTAGGGCAGCACAGAATTCTAGCCAAGAAATGTGAGTTACTTTCTTATGGAATCTCCAATACCAATCACTTATTTTTTCTACAAATAGGACATGCATGTGCTTACATAAAGCACGAAAATCACTTTCTAATGTCTCATCAGTTAAGGCTTTCACTTGATAAATGAATTCTTCGACACTAAGGCCATTTTCCGATCCATTAAACGTTAAATTCCACTTCTACATGATATCGGCAATCCTACTAGCATTCACTGAAGATTGACTAGGAAAATAACCTTCACGAGAAACTGGATTTGCAACTACTTCGGCCACTTGGCTAATCTGAGGATTCACATTCAATTGTGATAAGACTCTACTCAAAGTTTGTTCAATCATGCCTTGTATAACAGTATAATCCGGTTCATTATTCCTTCCTGGATTTGTTGGACGACCTCGTCTTCTCTGAGCAGGTTGTCGGGATTCCAAGGCATCACTAGGGTTTGTAGTATGACTGTCTTCTAATAATTCTGATTGTTCTGCACTATTGTTTAATGGCACCACTTCAGGTGGATTTGCTTGGGCTGATACTGGTAATTTTTGTATATTTAAAGCTTTTGACAATTTCCTTGTCACTGGGCGGCGAAAAAAAGTTCAAGTGAACTGTCAATGACAACAGACGTGTTTTTATCGTATCGAAACATCGAAAATATCCGATTTCTATTTCACGAAATTCGCTCAGGGTACGCGTGGGTACTCCTGCTCATGTTGCCTATATCTAATTACTAATATAAGTGATATAATACAGTTTTTCACAAATTTTGCCACGCGCGATAAGCTCAAATAAATGAGCGGCGAGCAAAATAATCTGCGTAGAAGCTCCGTAAACCAAAGAAACGCTTGTTATGCTTATATCTCAACCCGCAACACCGAAGTAGAGAAAACGTCTACAAAGAGCAACCCGGCCCTACTGGCCGTCGAAAGCACGAGAGCCCGCTCTCTATCACCAGCCCTACTCATTCCATCTCCTACATCTTGGAGTTATCAATGCCAGACCCCACAACCACCGGCTTCTATGGGAGACGCACCAACAACAAGCAGTGCTTCAATTTCTGCTACCTCAGCAAAAGTAACGGCAACAACTAAAGCAACGACCAATATTGCGAAAACGGTGTCAACGGCTCCATTGCAAACTGCAACAGCAACAAAAACCGTAAGCTTTGATAAGCAACCAGCGGTTCCGGCCATACAGACCGGTATGGATCGCTACATCCAGATAAAGCGTAAGCTTAGTCCGCAAAACACGGTTGGTAACAAACCAAAGATCAACCGTACAATCCAAGCCAAAGAAAAAACCAGGATTTCCAACAACAGCAACCGATGTTCCCTCTTAGCAGATGGTGAGAGCCAAGCTGAGCTGGAGCAAGTGACCCAAAAGAAACCAAAGCCCCCACCTATTTACATTAGGGAAAAAAAGCTCAAACGCCCTGGT